ATAGTGAACTTTCAGAAAGAGAGATTAGAAAAACAATCCCATTTACCATCACACCAAAAAAATTAAGATACCTAGGAATAAACTTAACTAAAGAGGTTAAAGACCTCTACTCAGAAAACTACAGGACGTTGAAAAAAGAGATAGAGGAAGACATAAACAGATGGAAGAACATACCATGTTCTTGGATTGGTAGAATCAACATCATTAAAATGTCCATACTACCCAAAGCAATCTATACATTCAACGCACTTCCCATTAAAATACCAATGGCCTTCTTCAAAGATCTAGAACGAACTCTCCAAAAATTCATCTGGAATAAAAAAAGACCCCGAATAGCTGCAACGATCCTGAGAAAGAACAAAGTAGGTGGGATCTCAATGCCAGATATCAAGCTGTATTACAAAGCCACTGTTCTCAAAACTGCCTGGTACTGGCACAAGAACAGACATATAGATCAGTGGAATAGAATAGAGAGTCCAGAAATTAGCCCGAACCAATATGCTCAATTAATTTTTGACAAAGGAGGCATGAACATACAATGGAGCCAAGATAGTCTCTTCAATAAATGGTGTTGGGAAAATTGGACAGATATATGCAAGAAAATGAAACTAGACCACCAACTTACACCATACACAAGAATAAACTCAAAATGGATAAAGGACTTAAATGTACGACAGGAAACCATAAAAATTCTAGAAGAATACAAAGGCAACAAAATCTCAGACATATGCCAAAACAATTTCTTCACTGATACAGCTCCTAGGGCAGTTGAAACTAAAGAGAAAATGAACAAATGGGACTACATCAAAATAAAAAGCTTCTGCAAAGCAAAAGAAACCATCAACAAAACAACAAGAAAACCCACCTCGTGGGAAAACATATTTGCCAACGTCATATCTGATAAGGGCTTAATCTCCAAAATTTATAGGGAACTCATACAACTTAACAAAAAGAAGATAAACAATCCAATCAAAAAATGGGCAAAGGATCTAAATAGACACCTTTCAAAAGAGGACATTCAGAAAGCCAAGAGACATATGAAAACATGCTCAAAGTCACTAATCATCCGAGAGATGCAAATCAAAACAACAATGAGGTACCATCTCACACCTGTCAGAATGGCCATCATCAACAAATCAACAAACGACAAGTGCTGGAGAGGATGTGGAGAAAAAGGAACACTTGTGCACTGCTGGTGGGAATGCAGACTGGTGCAGCCACTATGGAAGGCAGTATGGAGGTTCCTCAAAAAATTGGAAATGGAACTCCCATTTGACCCTGTGATCCCACTTCTAGGAATATTTCCCAAGAAACCAGAAACACCAATCAGAAAGGATATATGCACCCAGATGTTCATAGCAGCACAATTCACCATAGCTAAGATCTGGAAACAGCCTAAGTGCCCATCAGTAGATGAATGGATTAGAAAACTGTGGTACATCTACACGATGGAATACTATGCTGCTGTTAAAAAGAAAGAACTCTTACCATTTGCAACAGCATGGATGGAACTGGAGAGCATTATGCTAAGTGAAACAAGCCAGTCAATGAAGGAAAAATACCACATGATCTCACTCTTTCATGGATAATTAAGACCATTACAAACTTTTGAACAATAATAAATACAGTGGCAGAGCTGCCTCAAACCGATTGTCGGACTGCAGTGGGAAGGCCAGGGAGGGTTGGGGGACAGGAGGGAGGGGAATAAGAGATCAACCGAAGGACTTGTATGCATCCATATAACCATAACTAATGGACATAAGACACTGGGGGGTAAGGGAGGGCAGGGGCTTGTCAAGGGTGGGGGGGAAAAAGGACACTTATGTAATACCCTTTGTAATACTTTTAGCGAAAAAAAAAATAAATAAAAAAAATTAAAAAAAAAAAGAAGAAGCATAGTCTTGTGTTTTCTTCGTCTGAGTTTAGTGCTCTTTCACGTACATTCTCATGATCTTATTTTAATCCTTACATAATGACTGGTGAAATAAATGGTTTAAGGACACAAATCCCATTGCAGAGACATTTTAAAACAGACTCTCTTCCATGATTATTTTAGGTTGGACCCTTGTGACTACAAAGATGTTGCTAGTGATATAAAAATAACATCCATCCAGACCTCCGTACACATTGTTCTCTAAAGACCTCCAGATGCATCCCTTCTGGAAGGATGAGCCATGGTGAGAAGTATGCTGGTAATCACTTGAGTAACCTAAAATAAATATTTAAACTTAAGAGTTAACAGTAAAGGGATGATAGCTGAAATTAATCCAAGGCCTGAATCAAGCATATACTTATAATGGAATTATAAAAACAAAAAAAGCATGAAGAAGTCAGAAAGTTTATAATAAGGCTCTGCACATGGCTTAGTTGTCCACTCAGGAAACTGACCTCTATGCTCTGCATCAATTTCCCAGGCCACACTCATTCTTCGTGAAAGCCACACTGGCTATATTTAAAGACATAGTGCCCACACACCCAACACAGGTACTTTGTCCCTAGGAATTCCTCACTTCTCCCTTCTTGCCAACACTGAGGACACAGAACAGATGTGGATGAAAGTTACTTTCCTCTTACAACATATTTCCTACTTCTCAACTAGGGTTTCCAGATTTAGCATATAAAAATAGCAAAGGTTGTCCAATTAAATTTGAATTTCAGATAGACAACAAATAATTTTTAGTATACGTATATCCCAAATGTTGCATGGTCCACATTTATGTTAAAAATTACTTATAATTTATCTGAAATTCAGATTTAACTGAACATCCTGTTTTTTTATCTGGCAACCCTATTCCCACCCCCTATTCAGAAAATGTTCAGACTAAGTTATGGATACAGGAACGGACTTCATTCACAGGTCAGGAGCCTCACTTCACACATTTGGTGCTTCAATTTGCACCTGGCCTACTCCCATATATCACAGGGAGATAACTTCTCACTTTTCATTAAAGCAAAAAAAAAATAAATCAAATAGTTCTTAACCTTCAGTCTTTAGATGCACAGACTCCAAAGCTCCCACTGCTGTCATTAGGTTTTGCTGACACGGATGGCTAAGTTTTCTGCTGACAGAAGACAGGGCACGCAGCGGGAAAGGCTCCTTTAGCCTGACAACCCTCCAGCTATCTTCACTGGCAGGTCGGGCTTCTTCCAGGTCTAAGACAGCTAGGCACACCTCCTTCAGGCCTCAGTAATTATTTCACAAAGCAATAACAACAACACAAAAGACCCCTAAGAGACAGCAAATCATCACTAGATGCTGACTCCTGGGAACCTTGACCATCACAAGGACTGGTCTGGACCTAGAAGGGAGAAGCTTCTGCTGCCTTTTTCCTGTCTGAGAAACAGAAGGTGCCCCCATGAACTTCACCTTCTGTGTGTCTCTAGTCTTCCTTCATGGAAGAACAATTGGTCAAAAAAGCTCTTTCTTCAGTGGTGGCAACTGGAGAGACTTTGAGATACTTTTTGCCTCATCATTCTACACCTTAAAGCATAGATTATAGAACAGATTCAAGATAAATTTCCTTTTCTCCCTTCCAAGGCAAGTGGCACTTCTTAAGCCACTTCAGCAGAAAAATTCTAAAGCTACTTCTACCTTTTTATGTTAATATAGTTGTGTGCAGAAAGGTACTTAATAATCAAAGAGACGTCTTGTACCCTGGGCATCATATACAGCACTGTTCAACAGCAGAAATCATCCTCACCTCCCCCAAACCCTCACATACCTTTCCCTCCCCTAGAAAAATGTCTTTCTTGCCCTACCAGAAAACCCAATCTTGGCTCCCTGGGGTGTCACTGCTTTCTGAATTATGCTGAGAGAAAAAAATCAAATGTCCTTTTGTACCCTGGAAAGCAATTGCAGACCATATAATTCTTTCCCCCACCTTATGTAATTTATACATAGGCTTTCGGTGAAATACACCCTCTGCAAATGTGCTTTGTATTTGGAAGACAGCATCTTCAGCTCTGACCTTGTTCCTTGTAAATAAGGAAACAGAATTCCCCATCCACAGGAGAACAAATCACTTTATCTTCTGTATAAATGAGTCAGTCATTTACTTGTTGTAAAGATGACTTTCTCTTTGGAAAGTTGGGCTGGGTAGTAGTTGCTCTAAATCACTGAAGAATCTGCATAGTAAATTGAATAGTTTTTCTTCAGTTTTCCTTTGGAAGGGGGCCAGTTCTCTTATACTGTTGGGTAGGGACAAAATGTTTATACCACCAGTCATCCACCAGTGGCCAACTCTATCCTAAATCACTTTAGTGTATGGCCAAACTAGCAAAACTCAGAGGAGCAAAACAGAACTGAATAAGAACATGCGAATGGTGGATAAAGTGTTCCTTGGCACACATAATTGTGTGCCTGTTTTACAGGCTAGTGGAGCCATCAAGACTAAAGGAAAGACCCTTTCACTGGACCAAGTGTTCACTTTGGGAAGAGGAGGAAAGGAAACAATTTTGTTGACTCACACACTTCTCTGTGCCTCCGTTTCCTCCTTTATAGAGTAAGGACAATATTATTGTTTCTCTCATACGGTTGTGATAAGAATTAAATTTAAAAATGCAAACTGCTTACAACAGTGTGCTTAATAAATAGAATTCACTCTATATAATAAATATAATTATTAGGACTCAGTAAACATTAGCTTTCACTAAATGCAAAAATGAGTGGCCCTTTCACGCCACTTAATTCCAAAGCGGTTTCAGTCATCTTTAGATCAGACATCCTGCTCAAGAGATAGCGAGTGTACGCCTGTCTGACCCCATTCACCTCTCCTGCAGACTTACAGTGGCTTCTGATCTTTCTCAATTCAGTCCCTCAGGAAGCTACTGCCAGTTCACTGGTGTTCACCCAAGACATGGAAGATTATCTGCCCCTCTTCTGCTCATTGCCTGCTCTCATTCCATGTGCAAACGGAAGGTCAGGTAGAGGATCAGAAGTAGCTAACCCAAAGATGCCAGCCTCAAGCTTGAGTCGCTTGGGGGAGGGGACACAGCCTCACCTTATGGAACTGTGGAGGGTATATTCGAGCAGCCCCATGGTTCAGTAGTAGCTGGTAGCAGATCTCAGGCTGGGCGGCAGGCCGCACGGAAGTGACCTTCAGCACGTACTGGATGGCCGCACAGCCATTGATGTCCATGAGGTTGGCCTCAGCGCCCGCTTCCAGCATCATGTGCATGAGCACGTGGTCACAGTTCCAGGCTGCCTTGTGGAGCGGAGATTTGAAGTCATCATCCCTGGCGTTGACCTCGGCATGGTAGTCGAGCAGCATGCGGCAGACGAGGTGATGCTCCCTGCTGTACTCCTGCTCTTTAAAGCGGAGGGCCCAGTAGGTGGCGACAGCCAGGGGCGTCTCCATGTGGGCGTTCACACTGTCCACTACGGCCCCATGCTCCACGTAGAAGGCCACCAGCTCCGAGAGGCCGAAGTGGGCAGCTGTGTGCAAGGGGGTCTCTTCATCCTGGTTGTTGGTCTTCATGTTCACGTTCGCCCCTAGGAAGGGAGATTGAGGAAGCCGATTATTTAAACTGATGTTGACATTATACCCAAGGTTCATTAAACAGGACTTTACTGCTGCTTCCCTTTTAACCTCTGACTGCCATACATTATCCCTTGTGTCCCCATTCTCTTTTTGGGCCCCATGGAAGCCATTCCTTTGACACAACAGTGCCATCTGCTGGACAAGCTGCAAATGCACTAGGGTGGGGCGTAGGGGTGGAGCGGGGGAGTGGAGAACAAAAGATTTCAGGCTGTTTGTTGAGTGTTCTTACAAAGTGGTCCCCATAACTAATCGCTTTTTATCAGTAAAATAGAAAACATCATTGAAAGTTTATACCGCAATCTTTGAAACTCATACAAGTAGTTTTAAAAATCATCAGTTTCTTTGAATATTTCACAAAATCATGTTTTTCTTCTTTCAAAGCAGAAAAGCCTGAAAGTTTGGTCCAGGCAAACTTTATTTATTTACTTATTTATTTTTTTAAGTGTGGCAAAGCTGCCTAACTTTATATATCTAATCAATATATTATTGATTTTTTACAGAGAGGAAGGGAGAGGGATAGAGAGTTAGAAACATCGATCAGCTGCCTCCTGCACATCTCCTACTGGGGATGTGCCCACAACCAAGGTACATGCCCTTGACCAGAATCAAACCTGGGACCTTTCAGTCTGCAGGCCAAAGCTCTATCCACTGAGCCAAACCGGTTAGGGCAAGGTAAACTTTAGTGGCGTGTTTGACAGACAGTACTGAGCCGCCAAGGCTGTGAGGCTCTCTTGGAACAAACACAGTGGGGGGAAAACAACAACCACAAATACTTTGACCTCCAAACTAGCCTTAAGGTCATGTTTTACATTGAAAGGGGTGGAAGCCAGTAGTATAATGGAAATACCCATTGAAAGGAAGGCAAACCCAGTGGTGAGACTTAGTGGTTGAGCATCGACCTAAGAACCAGGTCACCAGTAGATTCCCAGTCAGGTCACATGCCTGGGTTTCTGGCTTGGTCCCCTGTTGGGGGCATGCAGGAGGCAGCTGACTGATGTTTCTCATGGATGTTTCTATACCGCTCCCTTCTTCTCTCTTAAAATCAATAAAATATTTTTTAAAAAAGAAAGACAATGATTTAGCAACTGTGACGTATTTGATTTATGGGAAACAATGGCTGTTAGAAATAAATTTTTAGTACTTGGAAAGTTCCTTAGGAATTATTTAATCCAACCGTATGTAACAGGCCAGGAAACTGATGAGAGTTTTATTTTTCTGATAGGAAATATTAAGAATTAGAATGGTCAACTTGAGAAGCTGAAGTTTTCCTTCTCTGCCTAATTTAAGGTGGTGAACCAAATGACTCTTGGGGGCCTATTATATTGTTGATTCTACTGGAAATTTATATAGTTACTTCAAGTATAAATCTTGATATACTTTTTATTATTATGCCAGCAACAAATATTTATTAAGCACTTAACATGGACAATATTCTGAGCTAAAAGCTTTTCATATATCGCCTCATCGAATCTTCCTAATATTTCTTTGCAGTAGGTACAATTTTTACCCTAATTTTACAGCTAAAGAAATTTGTTAGGCTAATAACCACACCAAGCTAAGAAGTAAAGAGGTTGGAAAACAGACAGCCTGACTTCAAAATCTCTTACCACTGTTCTGTTCTTCCCACTTCGTTATTGTTCTAGAAAATTTTTCTGTACTTTACTCTTGATATTGAAAACTTGAAAGTGGTATAGAAATCATGTTGCATTTTGTTAATTTAAAAAATCTGTTCTCCAAATATTGCTCCTCTATGCCCTTTTCTATGGCATTCTCTGGTCATATAGAACATATTTGAGAAAAGCAATACTCCTACAGATGTGCTCAGTATTCTATACAAAATCAACCCCCCAGTGAGGTGTCTGAGGGCACATTGCTCCGTAAACTCTGAGACTGTCAGTAGCCCAACTTGCAGAAAGCAGAATTCTAACCAAGGATTGTCATGCACGGAGCCATCTGTGTTCATCAGTATTCTGCCCCAGGGAAGTCCTGGGTCAGGTCTCCTTTTAGGTCAGCCCTTCTTTTCTCTGGAGTGCAAAGCAATGAATAAGAATGTCTTCCCAGAAGCCTTATTCCGGGTCACTGGAGAGTTTCCAGTAAGGAAGGGAATCAAAGGGTCAGGATGAAAATTTTACGGGCCAAATCGGAACAAACCACATTCTTTATTTTTAAATGTACTTGGACATTTATAATTGATCCTTGACCTCTTGGTACAACTCGACAGGCTGCGCAGTTTCCCTTTCTGAATAGAGGATCCTGATTTTTATAGTATTTGAATTGTGTCTTTGAGTGCTTTATATTTCCAGGGAATATGTAAAGTGGGATGATTTGACTACTTTTTAATTCTAGATTTTGGGGAAATTTAAAAAATATAGTGTTAATGCAGAAATACAATGTATTCGTGTCCTGGAACTGTTGTAACAAAGTACCACACAGTAGGTAGCTTATTTCATGGTTCTGGAGACTAGAAGTTCGAAATTAAGATGTGGGCAGGGCTGGTCCTTTCCGGCTCCTTCTGGGGGCTTTAAGGGAGAATCTGTCTCATGCCTTCTCCTAGCTTGTGGTGACAGCAGGCAATCCTTGGTGTTTGTTGGCTTGTAGATGTCGCTCCAAGGTCTGCCTCCATCTTCACATGGTGTTCTGTGTCTCTGTGTCTTCACAGGTCTGTCTTCTTATAAGGACACAAGTCATACTGCAATAGGGGCCCATCTTGCTCCCATTCATCTTAACTAGTTACATCGGCAACAACCCTATCTTCACATACTGAAGTATTAGGGATTAGGACTTCAATATACCTTCTTTTTGAGGGGGAGAGAGTACACAATTCAACCCAGACATATAACATGCATTACATAATATATAAAAATACATATGTGCAGTTTAAAAATATTGTAAATAAAGCCATCTCCCATGTAATCATATCCCAGCTCAAGAAATCAAACAGAAGAAGAAGAAGAAGAAGAAGAAGAAGAAGGAGAAGGAGAAGGAGAAGGAGAAGGAGAAGGAGAAGGAGAAGGAGAAGGAGAAGGAGAAGGAGAAGGAGAAGGAGAAGGAGAAGGAGAAGGAGAAGGAGAAGGAGAAGGAGAAGGAGAAGGAGAAGGAGAAGGAGAAGGAGAAGGAGAAGGAGAAGGAGAAGGAGAAGGAGAAGGAGAAGGAGAAGGAGAAGGAGAAGGAGAAGGAGAAGGAGAAGGAGAAGGAGAAGGAGAAGGAGAAGGAGAAGGAGAAGGAGAAGGAGAAGGAGAAGAAGGAGAAGGAGAAGAAGGAGAAGAAGAAGAAAATAAATCAAACACTTTCAGGCCCAGAGAATCCCTTTCTTATCTATCTTTCTCTATTCAACTCCTCCATCTTGCCAGAGATAATTATTATCCTGACTCTTATGATAATCATGCCTTTGTAATTCTTTATAGTTTACCACCTTTGTTTATATCTCTAAATAAAATAGTTTGATTTCATTCATTTTTTAACTTTATCTAAATGGATTAATAAGCACATTCTTTTATGACTTGCTTCTTTCACTCAACATTATATTTGTGAAAATAATTTGTATTGTAATGTTTAAGTCTCCTTTGTTCATTTTATTGTGTTCTACTTCATAGCACGAGTAACCCACAATTCCTCCATCCTACTGGTGCTGGGTATTTCCAGTTTCAGGTTATTCCAAACACTGCTGCCAGAGCATTCTTATAGATTCTCAAACCCTGGGACTTTTGGCAGGGTTTCTCTGAGTTCCAAACCTATGAGAGGAATTGCTGGGACATTGGACAGCATATTGCCAGTGTCCTTAGAGGGTATAAAAAAGGTGGTGTACCAGTTTCCACTCCCATAAGCCATGAGTGAGGGTTCTTATTGTGCCATATTCTTGCCAACATTTGGCATTTTCAGTCTATTTAATTTTAATCAATCTGGTGGGTGTGTAGTGACATCTCATTGTGTATGACTGTTTTCCTAGTTAACAATTCAGTTAGCCATATTTTACCTTACTATTGGGTATAAAACTTTTTTTTCTAAAAAGTTTTGATCTTATGACTAATGCTACAATTAATAAATTCATAAGTAAATTTCAGGATTATTTCCTTGGTATAAATCTGCCCCCCCCCCAAATAGAGTCATTAAGATGAACCATGAACTATTGTAAGGGGCTTAATGAATAATTGCCAAATGTTATATTTATATCTCTTTCATTGATGTAGAAGAGTGCTATTTCACTCGCCAGTGTGTGGTTATAGATTTTTAAAAATGTTTTGTTAGTTTAGAAGTAAAAAAAAGGTCTCTTTTTAAAAAATGTGAATTCATTTAACTATTAGATTTTAAACATTTTTTCTATAATTATTAACAAGTGGTATTTCTTCTTTGGCTAAATGTCCAAATTTTTGTCCTTTTATACATTGAAGCTTTTCTGTTTTGTTTACATATATATGAGTCCTTCATTAAATTAAGATGTAATCCTGGGTTTTCATAATTGTTATAAAATTTTAAACCAGTTTACTTGGACTTTCTTAAATACAATGATGCTAAAGAGGGAGAGAGAGAGAGAGAAACATCGATGTGAGAGCTTAGCATCGATGTGAGAGCTTAACATAGATCAGCTGCCACCTGCAAGGATCGAGCCTGCAATCCAATCATGTGCCCTGACCAGGAGTCAAACCAGCAACCCTTTGGTGCATAGGACAATATCCAACCAACTGGCCAGGACCAAACAAGTTTTTGTATTTTTCTTAATAGTAGATTGTCCTACTTCTCTCAGAGGTTGCAAAACTATCCAGATTAATTAAAATTTAGTTTTATCATAGATTTTTTAAATGTTTAATATTGGACTTATCTGGAACTTATTTTGGTATAGACATCAATTTAGGAAGAATTGACAGTCTTACAATATAAAGTCTTTCCAGCCAAAAACATGGTCTGTTTCTCTAAAAGATTTTCTTTACATTCTGTAAACTATATTACCCTCCCA